TTTGCCGATGCAAAAGACATGTGCATTTTATATGTCAGGCTGTATCACTGTTATGGGATATTAGAAATAAATGCTTCAGTTGATAAGTTGTACCTATGTGGTAAGCTTATGTTTGAAAAGCTGTTTGGAGGATAAAAAAGCAAAAGGTGTCTTACCACCTCCTCAGACACACTCTTTGCTGTTGTCTTAGGTAGTTAGTAGGTAGGTAAATAGATACTAGAAGAAAATGATACTAAACATTTTAATCAACAAAATATCGATTCTAAAACATATGTGTGTTCACCTTTTAACATTCCTGAAATTGAGATTAATTCTGTAACCAGTGGCCTATTAGAATTGCATCATAGTTTAAGTCAGTTTTTAAATCTTTGATTGGATGAACTATGGTTGTATCCTTAAATTTTGAGAAAAATTAAGTATCATTCCAGATACAAGTCCCAGCTCTTACTATCAGTATTGCTAGTGCAGTTGCCTTACTTTCAGTGGCAGGCAGAATAAAGGTCCCCAAGGATGTCCATGTGCTAATGGACCTGGAACCTGAGAATATGTTAGGTTACATAGTAAAGGGGAATGAAGTCTGCAGATGGAATTAAGGTTACCAACCAACTGACTCTGAAATAGAGGGATGATCATACGCAGTCTGGTATGCCCAGTGTTATCACAAGCGTCCTTCAAAGTTGGAAGAGGGAGGCTGAGGAGCTCAGTCCAAGAGAGATGTGATTAGTGAAGAAAGGCACAGAGAGACGTGACGTGAGAAGGGTTCACTTGTCGTGACTGGTTTTGAAGATGGAGACAGGGAGCTCCAGGTAAAGGAATATCTAGAACCTGGAAAAAGCAAGGAAATGGATTGTCCCCTACAGCCTCCAGAAAGGAGCGCAGTCAGCCTTGTGGTACATAGATTTTAAGCCAATGAGATCTGGGTCAATTTCTAATGTTGAGTTGGAAGATAATATTTTTGGGGTGTTTTAAGCCACTAAATTTGTGGTAATTTGATACCATAGAAAAATAATATACTTTATGATAATTAATTACTCCCTCCCACAACTTACAGAGAATAAGGAAACATGGGTATTCTTAAATCTTTAGATTGTGGGGTCAAGAATTCTAGCTTTAGAATTAGTTTTAAGAAATGATGTACGGC